ACTAAGGGGACTAAGCTGACTAACTAAGGGGACTAAGGGGACTAACGGGGCCTAAGGGGACTAAGGGGACTAAGGGGACTATTCAGTGAGGAAGCGTGTTTCCCCACCTAGCACACCTTTTATTTCAGCGTCGCGGCGTGGGGGCGCGAAGCGCCCCCCCGAAGAGCCGCGACCCATGCACGTCTCTGTGTACACCATTATTCCTACCCTTAGGCCGGTTAGTTAGTCCCCTTAGTCCCCTTAATCCCCTTAGTCCCCTTAGTCCCCTTAGTCCCCTTAGTCCCCTTAGTCCCCTTAGTCCCCTTAGTTAGTCATCTTAGTTAGTCACCTTAGTCCCCTTAGTTCCTCTGTCTTGGTAAAAATGGGCTGTTATTTTTTTTTCAAAATTCAATTTGAATTAAAAAAACCCATAGACTCCTTTGATCGGTGTATAGAACATTGTTTTATTCATACTATGAAAGAAATCTTTATCTTTTCGTAACAATGTTGTATGAATATCCGTTGATAATAGTTGAATCTGTATTTCACGCTGTATTCTAAGTTTTGCTACTTTTAACTTACATAAAGAAAGCCAGCGCTTAAAGCGAAGAAGTCAATTATCATTCGCATCCAAAGTATTATCATTCACTTCTCTAGCTTCCCGCAAAGTTCATCTGAAAAGATGGATATCATGCATCAAAAGAAACTCTGAACGTGCTTTTTAAAATTTTTCATGTGTATATCGTTCCATTTCATCGAGTTTTTGTTGTTTTGTTCCTCTACTTTCCAAATGTGTACGAAAACGTTCTATATACTTACGGCTTTTCACATTTTGAAATTGGTGTGGAAATAATTTTCAAAGAATACTTTTTCTTATCGGTTTTTTCATCTTTCTCATCATAGCAATCAACAGCTTTCTTCTTATGTTGAACAGAGCATTGGTCGGATAAACTGTTCTGGTGGTTCTCTTCTTTTTCCATAAACAACTCATCCACTTGTTCGCGATCAATTGGGATTTGTTCTTCTTTTGTTTATGTTGTTGGTGATTAGTATTGCAGCTGAAATCGATAATATGTTTAGTTTTGACAAGATAATTTATACGTTTAAGAATAAATTCAGTATAATCATATACATGCTTAGCAAGGTCTTCATGAAATGCACTGTATGCAGCGTTATAATGATGTGAGGATAAATATTTAGATATTAAATCAGTCAAGAGTGATCGAGCATGAAAAGGGCCTATCATGGTTTCTCCACTATATACTAAAATTAAAAGAAAAAGAAAAAATGTAATAGGATGATAAACACGTTTTCGCCAAATTTTAACGACATATAACAGTTATATGTAGAAAGAATGAGTTTTTTTCTTACAATGACATCCTTCTGAGACCAATAAATATATAGAAGGGATGCTGACACAGTGAAAACTTAACGAAACAATGAATATAAATGTGACACGCAAAAAGTATTACTCTAAATTTTATTTTCTAGTAAGAACCCTATGTAAGTTAATGATAGATCGTACTACTAAGCAGCCATTCGTCGACAATATTTTAACTAAATTGATATCTCTATTTGTGGTCGAAATTCCAAGTTTCTATGACTTATTCTAGGTTAGTTAAGAGTTTTTTAATTTTCTAGTTTATATACGATGAAAAATAGAAAAGCATGCGTAACTTTGGAGAAAAAGTCATAGAGAAAAATTCTTCTAGAGTTTTTACTATCTCAGTATACTCGATTGAATGAAATATGAATGAGTCAAAACGGAGAGTGTCACTTCGAGTGGTTTCCTCGTTAGAATAGAAATTCAAATATTAAATTATTTGTAAACTCCATAATTTTTTATTGTTGTTAACGTATTTTTTAATTTCAGCATCTGAAAAAATTTCATGTGCCGAGAAGTCTCATTAGTATTACAAGCTATTATTGAGTTATATCGCAGTTGATATCCTTATTCAAAACAAGATTCAAATATAGTTTATGATAATAATCAAAACATATAAGTAACACGAAAAACAAAAATCAAATATTGAGAATATTCGATGTTATTTTATAATACTATAGAAGTCAGTTTAATTATTAATTTATCAAAAAGTTAATACCGTGTTGCTTCATTCCGATGGTGACGTAGCTTTTAATAAATTAATATTTATGAACAAGGAAAGAATGAAACATCAGCAGATGTCAAAGCAATATGCGATGCATCAGATGGAATACAAGATGGCTTTCATTAAAGGAGCTGGAGTGTCTCGATCAATTGAAGATAAATCGTTCAGTGCCACTGTTTAACATGTTTATCGCTAGTACTGGAACGAAAATAGTCCATATGTTTCAACAGTTCTATGAAACTAAGCAACAAGATGGTGTATATGGGCGAGCACACTTTGTTTTTGCTGTATCACATGGATTTATGAATCACTTTCAATTTATTTATTTAGCATACAAGCTTAGTTTTATGGATAAACCTACAGAAAGAAGTGTTTCATTTAGTCTTGACTTTTATTGTAAAAAAAATAAACAAGAAATAAGATGCCAACATAATCACAGAAAAATGAATCTCAATTTTTTTTTTATAGATTTTCATATGAAAAACATTGAATGCAAGAAAGAGAAAAACAAAACGTCACAATACCAGCAACGTATTCGATTGCTTTGAATAACAGTAACATTCGAAAACATACTTTTGCTGATAAAGATGATAATGACCAAGAAATTTCTTCCTTCAAACTATTAAAAACATTATTTGGGGATTGGAAGAAATCATCCGATTCTGCTGAATATTATTTTAAGTCAATCCAGTAAATAGTGATTAATATGCTGTTGGAATCCATATGCTCTATGAAAATTATTTGTATTAATTTTCAACTAATGAATAACAATTGAACTAAAATTGATCAGACAAAAGGTAATTAGTCAACATCCAACCGAACTTGTATTGATACAACATTTCAGTATACTCCTCGAACGTCCATCAAACATTATTTATCAACTGAATGTCAACAACTAGAAAAAATAAATGGATAATATAGTTAAATAAGAATGACGCTCTTATTGGTTACGATTGGTATTGACGAAAAATGTCAGCTGTTGAAACACTTCTTACACTCAAATCATAATTTCATATCAGTGTTCAAAGAACGAGAAAAAACAATTAAACAGTAAATCTGCTTTCTTGATAACGAATAAAGTTCAAAGTTTATTTTCATTCTTCCACTTAACATCTTTATGTAGATACGGTTAATTTAAATACGAGAACTTATTAACAAAGAGGTTTATGAGTTCATGTTTCTTAAAATCTTTAGATTTACAAATAAAATGGTAATGTAACAGCTAGCTTAAGAAAAAAATTTCAGCACATTTTACGCGCATAAAAAAGTTCTATATAATGGGATAATCTGATCAAAACAGAGTGAAACTATGACATGAAAAATAAAGTGTTAAATATTTTCTATGGAAAAATGTCTAAATTTACCATTGAACTTTTGCCAACCGCTCAATCTTGATAAGGCAACATGATAACATCTGAAAATATGGAGCATCGCTCTGCATTGAACGTCACTTTATAATATAATTCTAGAATATTTATTTCAATCTATTTATTTAGTTCAATGATTTTAATTCTCGATTTCGTCGATTTTCGGTGTAAATTCGCTGAAAAGATGCCGTTTTCGACCGAAAATTAGTAGGAATTTCTAAGCAGGAACCTGTTAATTGAATATATTGACTGGATCTACACGCTTATTGTCGGACCCAATCGTCATTGGGGACATTTGATTACCGGGTACAATCACCGGATTCCTGCTTCCAAGTTCCTTTCATTTTCCAAAATCAGATCGTAGTTTATTCAATTAGCTAGATTTTTTTCTCGATTAGAGTCATCATAAAATGCCGTTGATGAATCACATGATAAATTTCTGTCAATTTCTTAACAACTAAGATGGTCATCGGAAACTTTTTAGCCTCTTTCATTGACATTAGCCGAATGTAAATAATGTCTTCAACGACAATGATGCCAAAGTAGCAACAGCTCTTAAATTAATTCTTTTGCAAAAATGATTAAGTTATCACGACCCATTAAATCACATATTTATTGTGACGTGTGATAAACATTTTATGAAATATTAAACAAATGTCAACTTCTAATTTCAACATGTATTCGATGAACATCGGTTGCACATGAACAGAAAAGTTCCGATGATGTCACAATAAAAATCTCAGGAGATATTATTGACTGAATGGAGCGTAGTATAACAGCAGAGCATATAAACACTAATAAACGATTCTTTTAAATTCTACGTGGATGATATTTTGGCTTAGTTTGAATCCTAGTCAGGAGCTTTTTTTTTGTTTGGAACCAAGCGAGAACGGTATTGTTGATGCTAAGTTTCACCTCTTTGTATCTCGGCATTGACCAACTACCATTAAAACTAATGACGAGACGTTATTGCAAATTACTACTTTATATGTTCCATAAATATTTCATTGAAAAAAGAACACTCGGTGGTACATTTGGTTTCACCACGTATTCTGTTTCAAGACACATAGTGACATCTTCCTATCCTTGTTTTGTATAAAGAAAACAAAAACAAAATAATATTTTCTATAGACTATTATTTTTACATATATAACAAGTAATTATTATGCTGATATAAGACAGTTGGTATGATCATCGATACAAAACAGATATTATTTACATGGTTAATGGCGCTTAACAACGGCTGCTGATTCGTTCGTTCATTACTTTTTTTTGCTTTTCTTTTTTTTTTTGTTTCCTTATGACAACAATTAAAATTGATTGATTAATCAGTCCATTTCATTCTGTTTTTTTCGTACAGGTAAATAGTTTTTTTTTATTCATTCGATGAATTACTTTGTTTTTATTTTATTCTAGTCTTCCTCTTTTTGTTGTTGTTTTTTGTACTTATACTTTTTTTATTACAAAAAAGAAATTTATTCTATTAAACGATTGTACATATTATTAAAAAACTAATAAAACATTTTTATATATTATCGAAAAACCAATGACCGATGGCAATATTGGAGGAGTCGGTAGCGAAACCGAAATTATCGGTAGCGCATCTGAAATTATTAAAGATCGTCTCTATTTTGCCACATTACGTATAAGACCAAAATCAACCGTTCATACACATTATTTTTCTATTGATGACGAATTTATTTACGAAAAGTAAAAAAAGAAAACATAATTTTTCATCATCTAAACGAAATATTCAATTTTTCTTGTTAAAGTTTTTATGCAGATTTTGGTCCACTCAATTTGGCTGTTGTTTACCGATATTGTACAAAACTTAATAAGAAAATTAATGTATACATATATATAAACATATGTATTTATAAATGAATGGTGTTGTTTTTTATTAATTTTTATTTAGAATCCAAGTTTATTACACAAACGCATCATTCATTATACAACATTTGATCCAAAAAAACGAGCTAATGCTGCGTTCTTAATTGCTGCTTATTCAGTAAGGAATATATATTTAAAAAAAACGATGTGTCAAGCTTTATTTCTCATGGATTGAGACAATATTAAGAGAACACATGAAGCGAGATGAAACAGTCATATCCCTAGTTCGAATGGGAGTTGAGGGGAGGATTGATACCGCATTTTACATATTAGTCGATTAATTTTCAGGACTTTTGCTTTTTCATAGAGACAGATTTTCAATCGTTGGACATATTTTTCGCCTCAGAGTGAGACTATCTGATAACAGTTGAAACGATTTTGACTTTGTCGATTAGTTCCATGCAAATATATTTCGATGGCAAGTTGAATGAGATAAGTCTAGTTCTGTAAATTTTTCTGATGTCTCATCAAGTGAAAAGTTAGCCATATATGGAATAAAGTTTAGTTTGAGTTTTTGTTATTAAATCTGAGATCTGAGAAGAATATCATCAAGTACTATTCCTAGAATTCTAGTATAGAGATGTACGAGATCAAATTGTTTTGGTACTGGTCTAGAGAAAACTATTTCAGGTTTTATTCGTATCATACCTTTAAAAATTCTTCAATACTTGTTTTTTAATTTAGTTAGTGATTAGCATAAGTTTAGATCATTTCTCTTCACCTAGGTTTTCATGCATATGATTTATAAGCCTATTCACTTAAAGTCATAGAACTAGGCAACTGCAAAGTGGTCCCGGGACCGAGATTAAAATTTGACTTTTTTGCAGGACCGGGACTAAGAATTTTTCACACCGGTCCCGGTCAGTTTTTTATGCAATATATCTTCAGGTTTATTATTTCGACATGATTAAAGATCTGTAAGTCAGATATTTTTATTTCCTATTTCTATAAAAGTCTTTACTTATTACGAGTTGTAATTTGAACTCTTTAGTTTTTCTATTGTACTTGACTATATTTGAGAACGAACTTTAATACTTGTTGCATATGAAAAATATATATACAAACTCAGATTCAATCTTGTGAAAAATCATTCCGAGACTTGTTCAAAAAATACCAGTTTCAGTTCTTTCGATCTGAATTTTGACATATGAAACTGATTCTTGAAGTAACACCGACTCAAAGACACTTGTATCGATTTTATGTACATTCAACTTTAACACTGGATATAAAAGAAGTCTCGTACTGTTAACGAATCAAAATCATTTATGTCAATTTTATGTATTCATAAAAGTACACAGATCGTAAAAAAGTTGCTCGCTTTTAGAAATGAAGCCATTGGCAAAGACGGGGACCGGGACCGGGACTGGGAAAAATTTTGACTGGGACCGGAACTGAGAAAAAAAAATTGACCGGGACCGGGACTAAAAAAAGCGATTTTGCAGATCTCTACATATAACATGGCATTATAATCTTTAGTTTCAGTTGAAATAACTTTCCCTCGTAGTGACTGAAACCATGACTAAAGTTAGTCCTGTATATCTGTATTCTAGTACGATTCATATTCTTATTGAAATAAAACTGACTGATGATCAAACATTCGAGAGTATAATTCATTAAATAATCGCTAGTAGACAAAGGAACATGTCAGAAATAAAAAAAAGAACATACATAACTGCATTGTTTCCTTCTTTCAGAACTTATCCCTTTTAGATGTTTTCCAGTTATCATTAGATTTCATCGTAATCACAAATAACATACAGTACACTATTTCATTGTTCATATTGATTCTATAAACGAGAATCATTATTAGCAAATGTTGACAATTGAATAATCAAATATTTAGACCATCGAAGAAATGGTATTATTTATAGAGTATTAGTAAAATACGCTCTGAGCCAGTTTGAGTGCCGTTGTATTTTTGGGACTTATATCTGTCAATAAAGCTGAATATTCTGAGTCTTTGATTACACTCTGAGACAAAAGCTCAAACAAATAAATGTTCAGAAAAATATCGTTGGATAAAGTTTGGATTAATATCTGATGGCCCTAGTATGTTTAAAAAATGTAGCAAAGCTATATAGAACTTCATTTTCTAAATATTTATTTTTTGTGAGAGTGGGATTCAATAAACTTAGAATCTTAAACTCAATCAACTAATGTATGTCCTAAGTGGACCAACACTCAGAGTGGTTCAGAACGTATTTTACTAATACTCTTGTTTATAGCACATTCATTAGTTTGAAAGACAATGCGAATTCTTTCTTCACGAAGAAATAAAACTTGACATTAATTTTCGTTGTTATACATTTAATATTTATCAATAGATTATTCATCTAAAACGAACACCGGAAGCATCTTATAAACCATTAATAAATGGTATTAATGCTGCACATCCATTTTTGCCTTTTCGAGATGCATCACTTGGTTCATCATCATATAATCTAACTTTACTTGATACAATACAAGGCCTTTATAAGGTTAATTATCCGTTTTAATCAATGTTTTGTTTATCAATTTTGTTTTTTTCTTTAAATTCAGGCAATACTTCATGGTTTTTTTGATTTTGAGAATTTTGATCTTGATGAATATGAATATTATGAAGTGAGATTTTTAGTTGTTTTTTCTAATCCAAAAAGACAAAACTTTAATTATTTAATTTTAATAGAAAGTTGAAAATGGTGATTTAAACTGGATTCTTCCTCGTAAATTACTTGCTTTTTCAGGGCCACATGCCAAGAGTAAAATTGAAAATGTATGTAAATTTGTTTTCTTGCTAAGGATATACGTATTTATTATTTTTTACTAGGGTTATCCATTACATGCACCCGAAACTTATTTTACGTATTTTCGAAAACGTAATGTTACAACAATTGTACGATTAAATAAAAAAATTTATGATGCAAAACGTTTTACTGATGCTGGTTTTGAACATTATGATTTATTTTTTTCTGATGGTAGTACACCGAGTGATGAAATTACATTAAAATTTTTAGCCATTGCTGAACAAGCTAAAGGTGCTGTTGCCGTCCATTGTAAAGGTATGAGTTTATTTATAGAAAGAAAAAACAAATTATTCACAAATTTTGATTTGTCATTGATTTTTTTCTTGTAGCGGGTCTTGGTCGAACGGGTACATTAATTGGAGCATATTTAATGAAACACTATAAATTTACAGCTGCTGAAGCTATTGCTTGGTTAAGAATATGTCGACCTGGTTCGGTTATTGGTCCACAACAAAATTATCTCGAAGAGTAAGCAAAAGAAAAATCAATCATTCACTATAAAAAGAGTTGTTGTTATTGATTATAGCAAACAAGTATGGCTTTGTTCATTAGGTGATACGTACCGAATAAAAGATCGACCACGATATACATCAAGTGTTGGCGTGAATTCTAGTATGGATACAACTATGCATAATCCACTTCGATATTCAATTAGTAATGTTATTGGAGATTATAATAATATAGAAGTTGGTTTTTTTGAACTGTTTTGTTTTTTCATGCATATTTTGTGTATGTATATAGGAGGAAAAAGAGGAAGAAATTACTCAAGGTGATAGATTAAATGAAATTAAAGCACGACGTATGCATCATCAACATCCAACATCATCAACAAATGCAAATGTTACGTCAAGTCTTACGTAAGCTATTTAAGTATTCTTTCCATTTATAAGATAGTATAGAATAACTAGCTTTTGCATGTGAAAAAAAAGACTAAAAAACCAAGCACCTAATTTAGATGTACATACTGTATGAAACTTTATAAATCATTATCGGCACTTAACAAACACATTAAAAATCAACATTCTCGAACGACTAATCAAAAAAATAACAATGGTTATCAATCATTAATGACATGTAATAAATGTATTAATAAAAAATTTCCATCAAAAAAATCATTACAATTACATCGAAGCCAAATACTCAACAACAATAATTCTATCATTATTGATGATAAAAAGGATAGGTACTTGAGATTAAATTATAAACGCATGGCTAAAATGTCATAAAAAGAAGAGAAAGAAAGACAGGATTTATATGCGATAAATTCTCGTTTTTTTGTGCTCATGTTTTGGTTTTATTTACATTGCTCCATAGTTGCTTGTTGAGTGACTGTATGCAGTCTTGTAGGAAAAAAGAAAAACAATCTGAAAAATATTGTTTCTAGTCTCTTCATTTGATTTCTCTCGAAAGTATATATCACTGATTATGAAGAAATATCACTGCTACAAATGTACTAAAGTCGAATGAATATGATTCCTATTCATACTTATGAAATGCATTAATCTGCTATATTGGCGATTGCCTATTCGCAGAGATGTTTTTCGTGATAAGAAAAATATAAATGACCTTTATTTATTGTGTTTTATTTCTTATTTTCCTCTTTGCTTTTACATGATTAAATATTCCCATCCCGTTGAGCCTATATTTGCTTCTTGGTTTGCATGAATACTTGCTCGAAACAATAAAAAAAAGAGATTATTGTTTTCTAATTCAAAAACAAAACATTCTATTCCAATAGATTTGATCCGTCAACATCATTTAAACGTACACATACCGCATTAACTTCTGCAAGTAGTTTACCAACGCATGGTATACCATCAGCTAATATACGTCGTAGTTATGCACCAATGTCAAATATGCCTTCCAATGTTCTGATAAATACCACAACACGCAAACCTCGTTCATACATTTCATCAACAACTTCAATAATGAAAACGTATGTATTAACTTTTTTATGAAATGTCATAGTTAATCAAGTAAAAGAATCTATTTATTTATAAGTACCATCAAACAAATCATATTTGCATCAATAGACTTTTTTTTTTCTTATTTGAACATTTTAGTCCAATATATCCAACTGGTCGGTATATGCATACAACAACAAGTAATACTAATTCAACGTTAACTATATCTGATACTGATAATCGTGATCCAATATCATCAACTATATTAAAAAGTTCACCACGTGGTAAATCTCCAATAACAACAACAACTACTCATACATTACCAACACATTCGTATTATACACGATCAAAATCGGTATATGAATCATTTATTGTATAATATCATATATAATTTGTTTTTATTTTAGTCTTATTCCAAATATTAACGAGAGAATAATCAAATTTACTGTTCCAATGCAATCTTTTAGCTAACTTATTCTCTCTAATTAATAATTTGTTTGTTTGTTTGTTATTCATTTCGAATGAAAATCATTTTTTCTTTTATAGTGCAGAGATAAAAGTTTTTTTTTTTTTTTGTATGAAAGAACAAGTATCTTTGTCTTCTGTGTCTTTTACGAATGTTTTTTTTTGGTTATGTATATGTATACTCATGTAATTTAAAAATATAACCTACCGAACTCAGAAATTTATTCTAATCATAAAGATTTACGCTATCTTTTTATGAACTCATGAGTAAAATATTAAATTGAGTAGTTCATCTTTCTTTCTCTTATTGTAAAAGCTAACATACAGGAAATAGTTATTGAACAGCGAACAAAAGAATTCTCTCCGGTTCTTTTCTTCTGACGAGCATTCTTCATTAGTTCTTTTTCTTTTCTTCATGTTAGCTTTTTTTTCTTCGAAAAATGATAGCATTTACTATTGAAAGAAGAAAAGAAAAGAGAAAAAAAAATGTGACGTAGTTTGGCAAAGAACAAGTTATACACGCACACACACACATCAACGGAAAACAGAGGAAGAGAACTCTATTTGAGAAGCACACTAGGCGGAAAAAAGCTGAGGAAAGCACGTCGAGCGATTCTAACGAGAACAAGAGAAAATATAGATACATGAACAAACAATTGAAGGGGTACTCCAGAAATTGAGCTCGTAAGTAGAAGATGAATAGAATTATGCAACACACAAAACATTCAATTAATTTGATTGTAGTATATCATCATATTGCAACAGGTTTCATTATGTTTATAGCTATTCAGTAAGCGTTTGCTGCTAGGTTTTTATTAATTTGATGCTAAGCTCACTAAAAAAATGGGTACAAGATGTGGCGATTGATCTAACACCTCCAGCGTCACGATCATCACCATCTACTTCTTCAATTTTCTCATCATCTTCAATCCCTGGATCAATACAACATAATTTTTATTCAACTAAACCTTCGCATGAACAACAAGAATCAAGAGATTCATCATCATCAGCAGTATATTTATCTAGACCAATCTCAATCGATAGTTTACCAAGTGCAAAAACACGTACTATGTCGATTCCACAACCCTCAACATCACCTGTCGAACTTGATTTAAGTCATTTAAATCGTGAAGAACAAGAACATATTGCTAATGTATTAAGAAGAGCACGAGCTGTCGAAGAACAACAATCTAATTTATTATCAGTGACTGTTCCTTCTATAATGTCTCCAACAACATCTATGACATCTTCAATATCAACTTCATCATCATCTTCATCACCCTCTACAAGTAGTTTCGCTAGTGAACAACTTGAAAAAAATGATATTGAAATGTAAGTAGATTATAATTTTCTTTTTTGTTCTGACATGTTCAAAACTTTTACATTTACGTAGCTGTCAAGTAAATAAAGTCACATAAAATCATCCGAGATTAATCTAAAAATAATTCGATAAAATTTAATCCTTTTTTTTTTTACATTTATTTAATATCGATACTTGTTTATTTATTATTAGTCAAGATGAGAGCGAAAAACCTGTAATAATTTCGGAATCAACATTATCAAATATTTACCTATGTCAAGCATGCGGGAAAGAACATCGAGAAAATTCATCAACTTGTTTTCAATGTCAACAAAAAGAATTTATTAATCGAAATAACGACAATAATATTACTTTTTCAAATCAACAGGTAACTTTTGTTTGAGTATTTAAGGAAATAATTAAAAAGCATTTTTCCTTTCATAGTCGATACCAATAAAAAAATCATCATCACCTATATCAATAACATATAATAATCATAAAGAAGAAGATAAAGTTTATGATAATATCACAGTAACTAATTCTGAACCAATCCAACAAAATGCTTCCATACAAGAATCAACAACTATAAATCATAATTATATTGAAGATCAAAATCAACAAGATCAATCAATTAGTTCGGATTTATTACGAACAAATAATCTAACAGAAATAGATGAAAATGAATTTTTCTATGAAGAACCAAGTCCATATGTGGCAGTAATAAAATCAAATAAAAATGATGAACAAATTATATCATCATATCATATTGATGAAAATATTGATGAAGATAATAATGATGAACGTGATCATGTTAAAGAATTGGAAGAAACTATAGCAAATTTATCTCGACATTTTCCATCTGAACAATTTGAAAAACCTATACCATCAACATTACCTATTAGTAATATTGATACGACTTCAATTCTTGAAATGGAAATAGAATCCCCATCAATTGATGAGATTTCTTTTAATTCTTCTACATATTCTTCGAATACTTCCATTTCTGTTCCTATTCCAATTAATAGTCGTCGGATTAATTTAAGTCGTTCGTCTGGTATACGAGAGAATTTAACTGATCTTCTTATATCAGCAACAAGTAAACCTCATCAGACATTACAACGAACATTATCAACACATGGCAAGGTAATAGAATTCTAATAAATAAATTCTATTTTACTCATATTAATTTACATTCGAAAATATATTTATATTTGACAATACAATCAGTTGAATTAATTTGATTATTGGTTAGATAGCCGAACCAGATCTTTCCCAGGTCGAAATAAATATTTGTAAATAGATTGATTTGCAATAATAAAATTAACAGAAGAGAAAAAAAAACATTTTTAACGATAAGATAGATTAAACTAATTATATTTAGATTTACACAATTCTGACAAACGATTTTTTGGTTTCTGTACTAACTTCATTAATTGAAATAGGCAAAGAGAGGAAAAAGTCTTTTAGATTATGCGTAATATATATATACTCAAAGAACTATATGATAAAAACAGAAGACTTATTCGGATGAGCGATATTTATCTTATCTGAAAATTTTCACATTTATCTTACTTAAAATAACTAGTAGAGTCAAATTACGTGTCATCTCGTTCAGTTGCGTTCTGCCATTAGACCGTAATAGAATTTTCGATAGCAAAGTACTGCAAGAGTCGACAGCTTCTCTTTTCTCCTGATAATTCTGTCCGTTTTTTTTAAGAACACAGCTAAATCTACCGAAATGAATGTTTCTCAGTTTTTTTTTTATTTTGAAATAGTCCTTGAAGACCTATAGAGATTATTTTTTTTTAATCTTGTGTCATGAAAATTAATTAGTGATTGAAGCCTATGCTTCGGAAGAAGTAGAATATAGAGTCTATCTATGCTTGTCAACAATCATGCTGCATCGTAGACGATCGTATTTTGACGGTTCATCGAACTGAGTATTATGATTATATGTCACTATGACCATTTATAGAGAACTATGAGGCAAAACTAAAATCATCTACGACCTTCGAATACGGAGATAGTGAACGAGTGTTTCCATCTTCGTAAATCTTGTCATCCTTTGTATATAGTATATAGATCGACGATCGCAATGCTGAATTACGTACACTACTGTATTTCTCTCAGCATCCTCGATTAAGACAGTACTCGTGTAACTTGAATACTTGAAAATATTAACAGAAAAACGTCAATTCTTAAAACACGTTTGTGATGAGGTCAGATAGGACTGGTATTTAACCAATTAATGAGGGTGAAATGATGGCGGGGTAACGTGTTTTAGTTGACTCATGGATCTATTTACAAAAAAATTCCCATATGAATAGTAGTAAATATCAACAGATAAAGTTTTCCTTTTTCTTGAAAGCTATATTTTTATCATAAAAATAAATGAGTTGATAATAAATTTGCTTTAGGCTATATTTCTATAACCATTCATAATCAATATTATTAAATATACTTTTTGCTGTTTTTTTTAAGCATATGTTATCAATAAATCGACACAAACGTAATTTACCATCTGTACCAAGTGTTACTACTTCAAAACAATTGCAATTACGTCGTGCTAATTCTGAATCTCGTTTTAGTCTTCCAGCTGTTCCACTACCACTATTAATACCTCAACAAAATCTTGATGATGAAAGTGATTTACTTGAAATTGATCTTAATGATCCTATTGGTTCAATGAATAGAAGTTCATGTTCAAAAACTGAATATGAATATAAAAAAACTAATGAAAATTATCAACATTCAACAAAATCAATAAATGGTCATTCATCAAACATTAAACAATTACGTGATCAAACAACAAATACTCCTCCAATATCAAGTTTAAATTCATCAATAAAATCAAAGAAAAAATTAAAAAAGAAACCTTCTTCTCCATTAAATAATACCAGTGATCAAATTAGTTCTTCAACTTTTCCATCAATTTCAAAATTACAAAAGGTATTTTTTTTCTATCTTCAATAATATTTCAATCATTGACATAATTTTTTTGGTCTCAACAGAGTACAAGTATAGAAATAACTTATCCGTTTCCAGTAACAAAATTAATTTTAAATCCATCACGACATGGTACTTCTACTGATCTTGGTTTTCGTATAACTGGTGGTCATTCAATTCCTAATTGTATGGAAGTAACAGCATGCATTGAAAATATTAATACCCATCATCGAAATTATGAAATACTTAAAAATATTGTTCAAGAAGGTTTGTTTTATTCTGAAGTCTCCTGAGATCGTTAGAATTGAAGGTTGATAGTTCATAAGCGAACATTCAATCCGTTTGTCTTCATACTTTTCCTTTTTGTAGAGCCTCTTATGGTAAGGAAAAGCCTAAGAGGATTTGTGCTCTTGTTGCTTCTTTTTCAAACGTTATGAATTTTTTTTTTCGTTTTGCTATATAGTGAGACACGTTAATGCTGGAATTTTTATTTCCAGATGATTGACTTTTTCTTGCCGCCTCATTTTGCGCATGAGTAGGAGACTACTGGAGTAGTATAATCTCCAAAAGATTCCTGCTCACGTTTATTTTAGTCAAGATAGTGCATTTTTAGTAAATAACTCTTGTCAAAGCCTAGTTTTCGAAAAGAATCATACTTGGGAATTTTGACTTGAAATTTTTTCCACATGAAGATCTTGATTAGACTATCTCACATATAAGATTTCATCAGTTTTTGATATCGCATCAGTAAGTTAGGGATCCATATGTTATCAATGCGATGTCCGAAACTAACTAAACTTTATATTTAAAATAGTCTAATCAAGGCACTCATGTGTACAAAGTTTCAGGTCGAACTTCTCAAATATGATTGTTTTCAAAAACTCGACTCCGACAAGAGGAATTTATTACAAATTCGTTATCGTGACCAAACTTAAATATGAGCAGAATTCTTTTGGAGGTCACACTACTCCAATAATGTCCTACATATGAGCAGAATATGAAAGTAAAAGAAGTCGATCATCTGAAAATGAAAATTTTAGCGTTAACGTGCCTTACTATATACAGAAAGAATAAACTTCATAACTTTTGAAAAAAGAAGCAACAAGAGTATAAATCGTCTTAGACTTTTTTTAGCTTTATTACATCCTAGATAAAGAGAACGTATGAAGATGAACGCAGTGAACCACTCGAAAATGTTCTTTCGTCCGGAGGTTGACAGGAAGAAGTGGCGGATAGAATTGATTGAGCTTTTTTTTTTCATCAGCTAGCAAAAGAATAATGGAAGAAAAATGAAAACTTTTTCAAGATCGGAGAGAGTAACGTTCGGTTTTATTGAAGTATTAATAAGAATTTTATCTTTTTCAATTAATTGCTACAGGTGATGAAGTACTTGAACTTGGTGGTGTATCATTACGTGGTAAAAGTGCTTTATTTGTTGAAAATTTAATGAATACGATAGAAAATGAATTTGAAATAATTGTTCGGAGTCAATCGATTAATACGAATTCGGATTCATTATTACCAGTGGATACAAATATTCAACGAACACATACCACAGAAATATCACCATTACCATTAACTGAACCAACAAATAATACAGTTACTAAATCACTATCAACAGCGATATCATCAATTGATCAGACATCAAAAATTAAAATTGATAATTCTCAACAACAACAACAACAACAAGAACAAAATCTTCCATCAATAGTAATAAAATTATTTAAAATTAAAAACAAAAAAAGAGCCAATACTTCGAATTATTTCTTTTTAGGCAAAGTCAACATCAGATGAAAAATCAGCAACTTCATTTTCGCATCGTTCTCGTTCAAGTTTATTACCAAATGATCGTGGACTAAATGGTGTTGATAGCAATATGAGTATTGATCAACAAAATTCTAATGAATCCGATGAAACTGATAGTTTATCACAATATTTTCATCCATCACAAAAACTAAAAACTAATCCAAGGGCAACAGGTAATACATCGATATGTCATGGACGCAGTCAAAGTGTTATACCACTTGCAAGTGATATAACAAATGCATCACGTCGTTTACAAAGTTTTCTTAAATCTGATGCCAAACGTTCATCAAAAGATTCAACAGATACTGAAAGAAAATCATCATTAGCTTTAGCATCATTACAATTTTTAAAGAAAAAAACAAAATCAGCAGATTTTTCTAATCAAAAAAATATGATTACGAATCAATTACGTGAAAATCAATATGTTGGTGATATTGAATTACAAATACGACATGATTGTGAACGTGAACAATTAGTTGTAGTTATTCTTCGAGCAAAAAATTTATTACCAAAAGATACTAATGGATTTTCAGATCCATTTGTTAAAGTTTATTTATTACCCGGCAGAGAGTAAGTAGAGTGTTTTTAATTGATTATTCATTTTTCATATCTAAAACTTTCATGAATTGTAGCAGGTAATATTCTAAATTTTCTATATGAATTGCTTCGTATATCTTTGAGCTTTAACTCTGCAACAACCGAGTCGAAATATAGTAATACAGATCTTGTCTATATATATTTTGTTATCTAATATAGACAATTGTATTAGTGATTACATATTAACATGGAAAGACACCAGAACAACTGAAAATGAAGAAATATGATCCTAATTCTTGTTTTACAAAGTTGAATATACTTTTATGATGTTCATGATAGTATATAACTGTTTGCGGAAGTTGTAATCATTGTCTTGAAATTCCATATACTTCGTCTAATGAATAATTTATTTGTTTTAATTGATTATATGTAAAGGTCATCTAGATTCGGTATCTACACTGAATGAACGATGATCGTTCTCTAAATACGGTCATGAAGTCATCTAGAATTATGATTGAGGAAGAACGAATTGAATTCCATTGAGATTTGATCATTGTCTAATGGTTTCCGATTGTTTAAATTATTGTAAAATAATAATATATTTATTAATAAGATTTGAAAAGTTAAGTAATAACTATGGCCTATCAAGACTTATTTGGAAATCATTAATAAAGATTTCAAAAATTATCATTCAATACACTATAAGATATTCAAACTTACTCTAAAGACTGAAAACTCAATCTTGATATGATGTTGATCATAAAACTAATTAAAATTTTGGCATAAAATATTTACTCATTTTTTGTTCATTTAAAAGTACAACTGGCTAGAGCCAGAAGCACTAGATTAGAATCAGAATTTTTTGTTTTTTCTTCGAATATGTATGTCAAAGTTCTTTCTAGACTAAACTTGAACGATCGTCATCAGAGTATTTCAAAATAATGATTGTACAGAGTGCTTATTATTTTGATCAATATTGTATTTCGATTGAAACTAATCAAAGTCAAAATGCGAAACAGGTCTTAATGGTTCACTTTGCTCTACAGAACTTACGTTTTACTTTTGCATGCCAGACTTTAAAACTTTTGTATTGTTAAGAGACGTTTTTGAAACAGCGATTGCTAATTTCTATAGAAACTAGCTGCTAAGTGAAAATGCCCTAAAAACATATTCAGAAAAGAAGAAAAATTCTCATTCTGCCTCTAATCAATTGTCCTGTAGTGACTGAACAATCAACGCATATTTTTTTTTTGTAGCAGAACTTTCACACTAGAGATTATATTTGATTGAATCTTTGGATACTTCTTCGAAGAGTAAATTTATCTGATTTTAATCATAATTATTTATTTTTCTAGTGCAGAAAATAAACGCCGAATTAAATATGTATCAAAAACATTAAATCCTGTATGGAATCATACTATTATTTATGGAAATATGCATCGAGAAGAAGTACAATATAAAAAACTTGAATTTACTGTTTGGGATTATGATCGTTTTAAAGCAAATGATTTTCTTGGTCAAGTAATAATTGATTTAAAAAGTAATTTAAGAAGGAAAGTTTTTCTTTAAATAAAAATAGTTTTTTCTTGTTTTTATTTACTTAGATCCGAATGTAATTGATGATAAACCTCATTGGTATCGTCTTCAAGCATTACGTTCTCGTGAAGAAATAACAAATCGTAGCTCGTCACCACGTTTAAATATTTTGGCATCAGCGGATTCAACAACTTCATCAACATTAACAATAAATAAAAATTCTGTGAATATGCAACCACGTATCAATCAACAAAAATAATCTATACACATGTTTCCTTGCTTGTTTTCTTTTTGCTATTTGTATATTCTATTCAGATATTCATATTGAAATACATATTCGATTTTATTGAAAAGAATAAGCAATGTTGATTTAATTATTCACATAAGAGAAAAAAAATTGTCGAAAATTACCAGAGAAAGAAAGATGACAATGACAGAAAAATTTTTGATAGAATACCTTTAATCACTATTATGGATTAAAATCTAATAACTGAATTTATTATCGTAGGTTTATAAACTTCGGAAAGTGAATATCTCGTTTATAAAAATGCTAAATAAAGATATTATCTCATCATTGGTCGACGTTCAATATTAAATTTTGGATAATTAATCCTTTGAATATGAGTATAAAGAATTCTGTAGACTATTTTTAAGTTTGTTTAGTTTTGAATAACTTGAGAACGTAAGAACGATGTCAAGATACAATGATATAATTTTGTCGACTTATCTTAAATATTCTATTAATTTTCCTGGCATGTATATGAAAACTGAAAAAGAGGCAAAATACATGAAATGACTTGAGGCTTAAAGAGCGTGCGAAGTCTTCTGGAAATTATTTAACCTATGGGTACTTTTCCCTGTAGATAATGATTATTAATTAATACACGATTATGACGAACATTTATTACAAAAAAGTATGGTAGAATGAACAAAGCTCGGTTTTTCACTTTTATCTCTATGTTTATGTTTCAATGAATTTCCATACTAGTTTTAAATGATTGGAAGATTTTTTTAGGATGTCTGATATAATTTTGAAGTGAAAAAAAATATTCTTCAACTAAATTTTGAATATTTATGAACGAGAGTCATAAAATTCAAAATTAACGTTCGATCATAAAATAGCTGTACTTCACAAACTATTGAAAACTAACACTTTAATATCATTTTTTTTAAGATAGAAACGAATCAAGATTATATTTTGGTAAAAATGAATAAACCATTTATATCTCACGAACTATTCAGGAAAAGAAGCCTAAAGTTGTTGAATGATCAGTATTCGCTGATAATAATGATTACACAAATTTAGAAGTTTTTAACTATCATAGTCAAGCAATGCTATTCAATGGCTTAAATATTTTCAATTTTAAATAAAGCTTTACAGAGTTTTACTATTATTTATGAATTCTTCAAAATTTCGTTTAAATAAAATACAATATTATTATTTCGAATAAACTAATGCAAAAAAATTATCTCATATTAAATATTTAATATTTAAATAAAGTTTTCAGACTTTTTCTCAAAAAAAGTCAATTTTCATGAAAAAACATGAAAACTGAGATAAATGCATATGAAAATAGTTCGAAATTTGATCTTTAAAAAAGGACATGATTTTTTATTTGACACCGCATTTTTCCAAAACTGTCCGTAATTTTCTGCTAGAAAGATAAGATTTTTTAGATAAAGTGGAAAATCTTTTTCAGTTTTTCTCAGTTTACACTCTTTTGATCGTGCAATCCAGAATTTTCATTTTACATATTTTAATCGTTCGGTTTTGGAAGAGCATATCAAGACGTAATGCAGTACAAAATCCATTTTTGATTAAGCTTTGCTGTTATTTTATGGACATGATCGACCATCCTGATATTCCAATATTTATTTGTGTGTAGCTTCCACCATATATTAAAAAAATAAGATTTTTTTTACGACTAATTATAGTGCATATATAAGGTCAATGATGTATTATTGTTTGAGCTCTATGTCTCACGAGAAACGAGAGTTGTCAAGTGTTTCTTTATAGTCATTTAGTTCAATGTATTTTAGATCTTATTTGATCACAGACATCAGTTCTTATTAGGAAAATTAAAATAATCTGAAGCATCAGCAACAAAGTTTTATTGTCAGATAGTCTATCAAGAGACGTACAATTAACTTCTCATGCTGTATACTTACGAATAGGGTGTTTACTCAAATTTAGGTTACATATAGCGGAACAACATATGCAGTGACAGTAATCTTATGAAAATTATAAATAGCTCCTCTGTATAGACACCACACAAAATATCATAAGTTTTGAGTCGTTGATTAATATTTTCGATGGCCACTCTTGTACTATTAAAATCACAGTTGAAGTGCTTTATCCTCAGTTGTTAATTCACATTTATAGAATCTATTTGTTTTCCGCGTGATGACATTGTCGAGTAAGAATTAGTGTATGTTAACAAATTAGATTTCAAATATATTGAACTAAATGATTATAAGGAAACACTTGACAACTCGCGTTCCTAGTGAGATATCGAGTTCAAGTAATAACACATCACTAGCACTAATGATGCATCATAAATAACTCAATAGAGAAATCTCATTTCTCTAATATATGATTGAAGCTAAGTATTAGGGTACCAGGATGGTTGATTACGCTCATATATACCAACATTTATATAAATAGACATTCATTTTTTTGAGTTATTTCACTTGTTATATCTATTCTCTACTTAAAAAGTAATAATTTAAAAAAAAAAAACTTTGTACTACACTTCATCGTGCCATGTCCTTTGAAAAAGAAAATTAAATACATCGAATGAACCGTAATAGAGAAAATCGATTTGGCAAATGAGCTTTTTTTTGACTCTTGTTTGGTGAATGTCTCTGTCCAATGACACGATATAGAAATAAAAATTTTATTATAGCTTCTTCACTATAGCTCTAATATATCCTCCAAATTTCAGACGATTTGAATATGTCTGGCACGAAATCGATTTTTGAGATAGGGCAGCCTTAACTTGATAATAGGCTGAATGTAAATATGGTTTTATTTTGTTATCGTTGCAAGACAGCGACAAGTATAATCAGTGAAAATTTTTTCCCCGAAACAATTGCGATAGCAAGAGTTCTTTCGTGAATTACCGAAGACAAAACAGCGAAATTTTTATTTTTAAACAAATAGAAGATAACATTGAAACAGATTTAAGCAATCGAGAAATGTAATACATAGATATCAAGTGATACAAAAACAATCAAGTAGAGTAATCAATCATGAGAATGACGAATTCAAACTATTTATTTCGAATATTAAGCTGCAAACATAGATAAAGTGTGTGAATGTGAGTTAGTAAAGACAAAGTCCATAATCTAAAATAGACTCATAGATCGTGGGAAGCAACGTGAGCAAGAGCTATCACTTATATGCACAGGCACGACGATGAATCATCATTAAAGATAAATAATCGAACCTCGTCAAGGAAAAAAGTATTCAACGAGATGCATTTCACAATCTTATTCTTTGTTGTTATTTATCTTCGTTAAAATTTACTTTCGACCTTGTGTATTATGCACATTTTTTTCTTGTTGAAAAGAGTTTCGCTTAAATGTTTTTTGTTGCTGAGTGGACATCATATCTTTGTTTTATTGTTTTATGTTCTAAATAATGACATTAAAATTCATATCAAAAAACAAATATTGATATCAGTGCTGCAACTAAAAGAATATGTGAGTCTATAAAATCAGCAGAAAACTATGAAAGAGTTTTTTTTCAGTAACATATGTACAAACGAGAAGTAAAATTTACAGAACATCTGCAGCTTCTGTTGTACATGGTGTTCAGAAAAACTAGAGTACATTAATGTCTTTTGCATATTGTCTCTTTCGGAGAGACGATTTTAAACTTCGAGAGAGCAAATATCTATTTTTGGAAACATAGCTACATTGTATTTGGTACAATAAAGACAAATTCTAAGAAGGTCAATTTGACTTTCGAAGGAACGTCACCTCCTCGATTTCTACGTTGAATAAAACATGGGAGTTTACATAGTTCACTTCGCTGAAGAAATCTATATTTTGATTGTAAATCTTTACAAATGGTATATAGTATTAAATAAAAATTGATGTCTACTATATAAACTAGTTTTTATTTACTTGTAAACACTTTCAATAATAAAATCAGTACGTGCATTTGTCGTTTATCAATTTGGTAAGTATTAGGTTATATTGCTCATCAAAGAAAAAATGAGAATATGATGTTTTTTTTGCATTTTGTTGACAAAAAGAAAGTGCGTAAACATACATATAACTCGTATAGAACAAAATATTAAAAAAAACATTCTTTAGATTTTCACTGAAAACACTGGTGTGAAAATAGGAAATTTATTTTTCAATTAAAAAAAGTTATACATTTCGACTGATTGAAAAATTCATTTACAATATATATGTCAATGTATACTACAATCATCGTTTACGTAGAAAATATTTTCAATTAAATATCGATGAGAGTAATTTGTTCGATTAATTACCATCAAATGTATGTGTATCAGATGTCGTTAATATACAGTGGAAAAAAAAGATTGATATAAAACATAATTCAAAATGATGTTTCACATATTTTTGACAGTAATCATTTAATTTTCTTTTCTGTATCTCATAATAAATCATCCGAAAAAATATTTCATACAATGATACAAGATGAGTCATCAGCATTGTTTTTTTTTTCTGTTCCTACTACTTGTTAAAATTCAATCTATTTGTTCAATTGTGTAGGTAGCAAGAGTGAACAGAAGCTACAGTCATATTTTCGTAGCTTCGATTTCACTATTTTAATAACCGAATGTCTCTTAGTCGTCGAACTATTAGTCGAATAGTTTTATCAACAAGACCTTGTTCATCACTAAAAAGTCTTAGTCAACAAAATATCTATTCTCAATTAGAACAAAATCGAATCGTAAGTCAAATAAATGTTCATTTATTTTATTCGCACGTATACAATCGATAAGAACCTTGATTAAAAATAAAGATTAAATAAAACATGCATATAAATATAGTTAACATGCACAAATTTCATAGACATTCTCATTTTTCATTTATCATCGCCGTTTGATATTTGATCAATATTATTATTTTAGAAAACAGTTTTCTACAATGATGAGTTCAGAGCAACAAGTAAGAAAATAATACGTTGGGGAATAAGATATATATATATAAATGTTTGCATGTTCTTCATTTTGAAATTGCACGAAATAAGATTATCTTTCTTTTTACGTACGTTCAAAT